AGAGAGAGAGAGAGAGAGCTGACATGTCATGGCGCTTTACATCTATGATAAATATTTACTTATGAATTTGCTGACCATGTGTCATGTTTTGAAGGTGCGTTAACGGGGAGAAAGAGAGAGAGAAAGAAACCCTCCCCGAGCATGACACAGAAAGATAAAACATGGAGACAAAGGGAAGAGGAGTGAGAGAAACAAAGAAATGTTTATAGATGTTTATAGAGAATGGTGTGTGAGTTTAGGAGCACGCATGAGAGGGAAACACAGCAGGATCACGAGCACGCGCAACAGAGAAATCCTTGTTGAAAAGGACTACTGAGTGGGAGAGGGGTTGAGACAGGGGTGTTGAGTGGGAGGGAAAGACGTGCTTCATTGCCGCGCTCATGTACACAAGTACGCGCACACACACACACACACACACACACACACACACACACACACACCACAAGCGCACACACAGCTCCTCAGCTTGCACACAGAACAGAAGCTGTCCACTGTTTCTATGTAACACAACAAAGGAAGGAGGTTTACTGGCCGATCCATCATTTGAACTGTTATAAAATTTTAAATCAAACACATGTTAGCTGGCGACAGAGCTTCTCAGGATTCAAATGAATATCTCTGACCACATCTGAAGGTCAGTGTCAGAGCATGTCTACACATCCGAAACCAGATTGTCATCAGGTCATCAGAAAATAATAATAATAATAATATTTTTACATGTATGATTACCTGATTAGTGACAAATAATGTTATTTACATTATTTCTCCTTCTCCCCTACCCACTATATTTTTCACCAGTACCAGTATTTTAAGTGTATTTAAATTAACATATTATATAATAAACACTGTCACTTTAAGAGATTTGTTCCAGCACAGTGAGAGGACAGTCTCTGAGAGAGATCACAGCTTTTCCTTATTGTGCATATGTGTTCAAGTTTTACAAATAGCCAACTGTTTTGCTGTGGAAATCAGCTTATTTAGAGGTGTTTACTTTAAACTGGCAGATCAATGCAATTTGGCTGAATTTCAGTCTGAGTTAGATTTGAATTTGTTTGGATACAGTGGTGTATGTTAGACATTTTCCTTTTATCCCTCTACATTGCGTCCACAGAGGTACTTTATCACGTACATGAATCACTGAAAAAACCTTTAAGAAAGGCAGTTATGTGTATACATGGTTAAATAATCAGAAATCGAGTCATGTTTAACAGAATTTCTCTTAATCCCTTGCTTGTGTGCCTGCAAACTCAAGGACAGAGGCAGCAACAAAGGCTTACGACTGTCCAACCTGTTTGCATGTTTTTGTTGAGCTTCACTGTCTTTAACAGCTAGACAAGATATTCTCTTATCATAATGGCCTCCATAAAGATACAAGAACCACTCTTTTGTTTGAAAAAGGGCCGTGCATTCATGAATTTAAGTAAGTGCGGTGCCTGCCAAATATGAGCATAAGCCTCTTTGGACTGTGTTTTGAGAATGATCTTGTATTGGGAAATGATGTGTTGCCATAGATCCTTTGAGTAGGTCTCTGCCTCTGATTACAACAACATCAAAGAAGCCTCATCAGAAAGTCTAATGGAGGAACAGGGCACTTGACCAGGAAGAAAGACAACAATAGGAGCACTGGATCTGTGCATATGCATCAGCGAGCCCCCTACTACAGTATGTTCCTTCACAGAGATGGGCATGAATGAGCTCAACTTCAGCAGCAGGGTGCTTTTGAGACAGAATAAGCGCTCAACCGTAACACAAATAATAACAGTATTTTTTTTAACTATCAGCTGAGGATTAAAGCAGCATTATTCTGTTGTGCTTTTCTGTTCAGAACTGTTTTAATGCAGGAAGCAGTTAACTGAGTGAATGTGATCAAGCTTGTTAGTTTTGGCAAATTTGGTGAACTAAACCCGTGTGTTTCCTTAAATAAAACACACTGCTACGGCAAGCTACATGGCCAACATGTGGCCTGGAGGCACAGTGACTTACTTCCTTAAGAAAATTAAGTTTGCACATGCAGTCTTCTCGTAGAGGAGTGTCTGTTTCAAATGTAACAATGTACAATGCAATGTTATTTTAACTTTAACATATAGTGCTAGTTTGATTGTTATTGTGATCAATGCTCTGTCAATTCCCATGGTAGAAAAACACAGTGACAAACAAGGTAGGACAATCTCTTTCTAACAATCTCTTCACATTATCTGTCATTTAAGGTAATTGATCAAACACATTCTGCTCAAGTTTTTTTCTTCGAGTTGTGAAGTGGTCCTGAAATTTGAATTTTAGCAAAAAGGTAAAGCATAAAACCTTGGAGCAAAAAAAAAAATAGTAAAGAACAAGAAATACACGTTTAGGTGCAAACTGAAATAAAAGAATGAATAATAATATTAATCTAGCAAAAGAAGAAGAAACCAGGATTATCATAAAAACATACAATAAAGTTGATAATGGATTTAGGTTGTAGAGCTGCAACTACCAATCATTTGCATTCATTGTCAATCATTAATTAATTAAAAGTTTCTGTCCATATTTTCAAAAGCCCAATGTGACATTGTCATATGTTTTGTTTTGCCTCGCTGACAGTATAAAACATATTCAAACTTGTTACATAGGACAAAGAAAAGCAGCAAATCCTCATAATTAAGGAACAAATAAATATTTCGCATTTGCTAGAAAATTTTATTAAACATAAAAAAATCTGAATAGTTCCTGATGAATCGACTAATCGATTAACAGTTGTAGCTCTATTCTGGTGACAAACCTAATGTGCCAAAATTGATTCCTGACCTGTCACAGGGGCCTCGATGTCCAGCAGGTTCTTCTCTGCACGCAAGATCGCTCCGCCTTCTCCTATGAGCCTCAGAGCCACTGCCTCCTCCACGCGGCCTTCCTTGGTTAGGTGAGCTTTCAGCACATCCACTTTGGGCTTTCCCTCGCTGTCAAACACCTCTTTAGCCGTCAACCGGTGACTGGGAGGGAACGGGACAGCTGCAGGGGTTAAAAAAAAGCAAGAAGAAAAAGCATTGTTACGGCTGATATGCTTTCATAACATATTTACAGTGCTTTAATATACCTTTCATTGACAAAAGGCTTATGAGGATACGCAGTTAATTCCACATCACTGAGCAAACGGCATTTAAGCTGTTTGATTAGCAGGTACTTTGTACCTTCCAGGGGATCGACTCCCTGCAGGAGAGGGAGTTAGTGTTCACTCCCATGCTTCCAGCCCACCCTCTGAGACAATTTACCCGATTGCTGCTATGATCTGTGAGTCATTCAATTTTCAATATTTATAACAGACCCACACACTGTTTCTAGTTTGCTTAACAATATTCATAGCAAAAGAGATTACACTTGGAAAATGAAACACAGAACTGAGATAAAAATGTTGCTGTTTAACATAAAAAGCCTTTCATATGAGCAAAAACGTGATTATCTTGTAGTGTTTAATATGTAATACAAACACTGCAAGATAATATCTATTTAAACTTGCTCTGTTTTTTGTGTATGATTAGAAGAACAGAGACATCATCTTCAGTTTGACGTGCATCTACTTATTTGTCAGTCACAATTATTTAAAAGAGTGAAATTATGTTTATTTCAGAGTCTTGAAGGCATCGTGAAAATTAGACTACATGAATCCACAACAAATCTCTGTTACTGTCAATTTCCATAATTAGTGGCTTATAAAGGATAGCTTTTCACAGCAATTCAATGTGCTCCAGTAATTTTGGATACAACAGATGCATTCAAAAGCCTGAATCCTGTTTGCATGTATTTTAATTTAAAACAGTGAACTTTCCAATCTAATCACAGCATAAAAGATAGATGGTGCACATTTTCTATGCAAATAGCTCAATGAGTCTTTAGATAGACTTTTTTATGAAAAGTGGTCTGGTAACAAAAGGGGTAGAAACCCCACAATGCATCCATTAAAAATTGACCTCATGTCACTGCCATTTAGCAGCGGACATCAAACAGGTAAAAAGGAACTTTGTAAATGAAATCCTTATTAAAAGGTACTTTAAGTGGCCTCCACCATACAAAAGCCTAGTGTGGTAATATTTCCTTTTTACAACCCCTGATGAGCATATTACTTACTGTCAGCAAAGGTACAAAAAGGACATAATTAAAGTCCACATCCTGTGGACTTTTCAATTCAGCAGCTGTAAGACGTTTTAAATACAAGACGTGCTCTTAATTAACATCCACTTGCAGACTTTGCACATAGTCTACTGGTGTGAGTAATGCACTAAGCCAGTAGCAACTATAGTTGAGTTGGGCGCTGTGTGTGTGTGTGTGTGCGTTTCTGTTAACATCCATCCTTCCCAAAGGTGACATCAGTGGTAATTAGACCTGCACTTTATCTGTGTCACACTGTGACAGATGATATTTGGGATCGCAACTGCAGTATTTTAAGCTTTCTAACAGGTGTACGTTAAAATTGCCGATTTGTAGAGTTTTTCAGGATTACTTTTAAAGAATCTAAATCACCAAGGTGCAAGGGGCAGAGGCTATCTGACTGATGCAATACAATGCTTGATCCTCTTATATAAAACTAAAGGCAACAACTGAAGTGGAAACCCATTTCTCATAGCTGAAAACAACATAAGGATGCCTGCAAGCTATATGGAAGTAAGGATTCTTCTACTTAGCTAATAAGTATTTAAGTATTGTGCTATCAAACATCTTAAATACACCAATTCTGTATATTCTGTGTATCACAATATTAGGACAACAGACAACATCAGTATAATTTCCATTTTCCTCTTTTCTTCAACCACCATGATCAAAAATGGCCAAAAAGATCAAAATTGGCTCTCAACCCAAATTTCTTTCAAGCCAAATTGATACTCAATGCGCTTGAAACAATCTTTTATAACAATATCAGCCCAGTGTCTCTGTTAAGGTATCTGGGGCATTCTGAATTCCCCATCAGAGATAGGATTACCCAAGGCCCCAGGTTGGCCTCCCCTGAACACCTGCTGCGCAACTCTAGCCCGAGCCCAGGGCCTTGGGGCTTTTTCCTTGAATGATTACACCCCACTGGCCCCTGAGATGGTGGAGACATACAGTGTGAACATTCGTGTGAACTATTATGAACCTGTTTTGGGGACATTTTCTGCCTGAACAGACAAATGGGTCTGTGCTTTAAACGCGACAGCTAGGTCAAGACTCTGCAATGTGAATATGTCATAAATATTCCTTAGAGGATTACAAGCACTAGCATAAATGCCTGAATGTTAGGGGTATTGATTTTAGTTGGCTTTTATAATAGACTTCATGTAAATGTGTGTAACTGTCAGATAAGGTCAGGGGGGAGGGTGCCTACAGTATTTGGCTTTGCTCATATTGTTAGCCAATTAAGCATTACTGCAATGAAAGGTAAACTCCCAAGGCAGTCTACCATAACCATGTTGTTCTTGAATCCAAACGTCATGAGTCAAAACCAAGTTATTCTCAACTCTCTGCAAAAAAACAGAGTTTGTTCAGAGAGGTAGTTGGATGTAGACCCACCCCACAGATGATGAATGCATAGGGAAAAGTCTACATAACAACAGGTTTCATGAGGAAGATGCATCAGAAACCCACACATTTAACAGCTGTGATGGATATTGGGTTTTGTTTCTGTAAAAAAAAAAAAAAAATCACCTTTACTCACTGTCTCTCTCACTGCTATACTGAATATGCACATCCATAAGTGATGCGAAACAATGTCAGCCTTTGAGTTGAGTTTATAGCAATTTTGCAGAAGTTTAGGGTTCCCACAAACAGTACAACAGTTGGTACGATCGAAGTAGCTGTGGATGTTGACCGAGCCACTGCTCGCACTGAAGTCACAACACATCCTAAAATTCAAACACTAAAAAATAACATTATTTTTAAATAGAAATAACCCATGTGAAAGCTGTAGTTGTTGGCACACTGGCAACCTTTCAACACATCACCCTTCCATTTCCTACAGTCATGACAATGGAAACACTGTGAACTTTCCCCTTGTGGAATTTCTAACAGCCCTCTTATTAAGAGGAGTAACACCCACCAGTGCCAAAACATTACATGGCACATTGTAATAGTAGGTTCTACACTCTTAAGAAAAAGGCGTTACTCCCATGACAGAATTTAAAAGCACAATGTGGATTAACAACTCAGTCAAGGAAGAAAAATCCTCAAACTTTTGTTGTGTTTAGATATTTGAGCAAGAACATATATGGCAATGTTAATATTGCATTAAATAATGGGCTACATCTTTTTCAGCCTTTGCAGTAATTGAGCAAAACATAAGCTACTGACAGTCAAAAAAGAAAAAAATCTCAACCCTTTTCCCTCCCTAACAACAGTATCAGAACATTCCCACACTACCACTGCGGATTGTTGTGAATAACCCTGTGCATTTATCTTTTCATACAGAGCTTTATAGCTGTGAGAGCATAAACTGACCCGAGGCGATCTGCCTGAAACCCAAGTATGACTCAAAAATGGTCTCCATTAGCCGGTTGCCTTCATTAATTTTACCATTTCACTGTTCCCTGCTGTTATGTAACCGGGAAATTGCACTGCAGCCTCGAATCAAGCATGAGAGAGAAATGATCAGAGAGTGAGAGAGAGAGGACAAAAAAGTAAAAAAATCTAGAGTCTGATTTAACTTTCCCTGGTAATTTGTCTCAGATTAGCATTGCAATTTCCAAGATACAAATTAAAGCCATCCATCAGCCATTAGGTTTAAAGCCTAATAGACCGCTAAACCTCTGAATGTCTGGAGGGCGTGCTAAATAAACTTTAAAGTTTGTCTAATAAAAGTAGACTATCTTGTGTTGGTCAGCGAGGTTTATAGCAACATTTAATGATTTCCTTCTTCAGTGAATTAGCGCTCAGTCTTAGGTCTTGAACTCAAAGCTTTAGATCATCAACCTCAGCAGCTACCTCTGTTCATGCAACATTCGTTGAGGAAAACCTGCACCACCGGGGGCGCAGTGCATCTGAAACTGCTGAGACGCAGTGGGAAAACGGGCAGCTTGAAATGTTCAGGTTGGTGTAGTTCAGAGATAATGTGATCTCTCTGAGGAATGAGACAGCGGGAGGTGTGCAGTCATATGGTGCTGGACATATCAGCTTAATTGGAGAAAGTGAGACAGACTGTTGCAGAGCTCACCAAGCAACCCCTGACTTCATTTAGTGAAGAACACAGAGTGCAACTGTGATTTTGGCCTAACTGGCAGCTCAGATCTCTACAGTTCCTGCATGTCATCTTCCTTCCTGGCCTTGTCAGGTAACTGAGAGTTGTGTGGTATACCTTACATTATAAATACAAAGTAAACACCAGTACAGACACATTCTCAACTTCTAAAAAATGTACTTTGTAGCATCAGAAATCGTTTATTGATATAGTACAGATCTACTCACACAATATGGTCAGTTGATCGATATCCAACCACAGCTGACAGCCATGGTGCCAATTTATTTTCATCAACTGCAAAGCAATACCTATAGCAAATATTGACTGTGGCTGCCCCAGACGTTCATAAAGAGCAAGCTATCTGCTTTTAAGTCAGCATTGTCCAAGCTAGGTTGGGACTGCGCCCGATGATTGGGCATTGACAAAACAAATGAATTCCTTTTAGGGATGCACTGTTCAGTCAGCCTAAAATAAGTATTGGTGGATATTCGCCTTGTTGACTGACATCGGCCAACCAGCAAATAAGATATCAGTGGCCGATGTTTATCTGTCGTGCCACATCACCTTTGCCTTGATTGAATGTTTTTTGTTTTTAAATAGGATTTTTGAGAAATAATCATCTGTTTTCTAGCACAAATTGCGCACAAATACCTGTATCCACCAGCACGGACAGCAAACGGCTATTTAACTCTGCATCTCACATCTGGGATGAGAAATAGACTGGGCTGCAACAAGGCAGCGATGCTTATTTTTGTAGATTTCTTTTATTTCCCTGGCACAAAAGGGTGAATAAACATCGGTAAAACATCGG